GAGCTATGGGGGGAAAAAAGAGGAACAACTGTAATAATCTGAACAATAAAGATTTAATTAAAAAAACATTTTAAAAATAAAAAAAAATAAAATAAAATGCCTATATTGTATATTTGTTGAAAAAAAAAGAAAAGAAAATTGACTGGCTTAGAAATAACAGTTTGCCCTGGCCAGTGTGGCTCAGTTGGTTGGACCATCGGCCCATGCATGGAAGGGTCGTGGGTTCAATTCTCTGTCAGGGCACATACCCAGGTTGCAGGTTTGGTCCCCAGATGGATCGATGTTTCTCTCTCTCTCTCCCTCTCCCTTCCTCTCTCTAAAATCAGTAAAAATATATCCTCAGGTGAGGACTAAAGAAAGAAAAAAGGAAATAACAAAGGTTGTATTTTATTTGAGCAAATACAATATAGTATAACAAAGCAGTTATTTTTCTCCTTTTATTCATTTTCCATCCCTGCTGGAATTATTTGTGTGTAAAGAGAATAGTCCTGAAATAAATATCTTAAATCTCATTATGTTAGTTATCACATGGCAAAATGAGTTTTTGAAGAACAAAGTGTTAAAAACGTACTTATGAGAAAATGATTTATATAGAAAAAAGCTACACATAAAGCATAAAGATTAAGATATACCAAGCTTAAGTAATTCAGAATCAGGCCTGTGTCTTTAGGATGACCTTAGTAAAGAAGGGGCACATTTCTGAGAATCTTGGTCTACTACGATGAAACGATGTCATGGCTAGCTGGCTGGCAACAGTTCCGCTTGTCTCAAACATGTCCAAATTGCTTAATTACTTTTCACTGCAATCTAGAAAAACACAGTGCTGGCTCCACAAGTCCTCACTATATATTTTAAAGGTGTACTTTAGGCACACATGAAGCAGCATGTACTGGACACAAGAAGAAAACGGAAAAGGGATGGAATATGTCTTGTTTTGGGCAAGCGTAGTGCACAAACACATTTCAACACAGAGAAGTTCACTTCTTTTATTTCCCCATTTCAAATGTTTTAACATTATGAACTACATAATGACAAGGTGGTGTAACCCCATGATCCAGGATCAGTAATTTCTATATTCAGAAGTCCTGATTCTGAAACTTTTGGAATGAATCCCCCCCCCGCCCCCACCCCAAATGCAGCTCTGGATTCTATGAACCTATGTTGTCAAGATGTAGATATCCATGCAGCTTCCAATTTACTGCTTGCTGTGTTCAGCGCATTTGTAGGCAATATCTATTGGAGGCTGAGTGGAGAGTTATAAAATCAAGCTATTTTTATAGCAAGAGCTTTGGTTTCAGGGACAAATTGAATGAGCAAGAATTCAGTTCCAGTGCACCTTTGAGAGCTCAGCTGAAGCTGTTACCACCTTCCTGAGCAATGTATGTCCTCACCATCTCTGGATGGCAACATTGTCAGTTGCATCAACAGCTTTCTTCCAGAACCCATTTTATTCGATATTGATGGCCATGCCTCACAGAAGCCTGGGACCATCCCAGCCCCAGGAGTTGAATTTTCACTGGAAATCCAGTGCTTTTAATTCCATTCTTCTTACCAGTGACTGGTTATGATGAAAATCTAGCTAGTAAGAACTCAGAGGGTCCTCTGTGCAAGTTGTCCTTGCTTTTCAAATAGGACAAAAGGAAGAGATGCTGCCTGTCTCCTCCCTGAAACTGCGGCAGCAACATTAGATCAGGGGACCCAGCCTGAACAGAGAGCAGGGGGAAAGATCTGGTCGTGATGCCATTATGTCACTATATTGAGCAGCCTAGGATTTCCTACCTCTGGACTTATTTGGTGAGATAATAACATTTTATTTACTTATTTATAAATATTTTTTTGTTTAATCCTCACTGGAGGATATTTTTCCCCCGTTGATTTTTAGAGAGTGCGAGGGAGGGAGGGTGGGAAGGGGGAGAGAAACATCGATGTGAGAGACACATAGATTGGTTGCCTCCTACACGCAGGATCAAACCTGCAACCCAGGTATGTGCCCTTGATTGAAAATTGAACCTGTGACCCTTCAGTCAGCAGTCCAATGCTCTAACCACATAGCAACACCGGCCAGGGCTAAAATTTTATTTTTAAAGCATTATGGAGATGAGGGGACATTTATTTTCGGTCCCAAGTAATCAGATGCAATCCTCTTCCTCTGAAATAACTATTTTAGAGTGAAGCACACATTCTTTTTTACACCAAACTAATTCTTGTGTGAGTATTGACTTGACCTTCCCCCTCTCCTAAATTCAAGCACCTTGGAGTGTGTGCTCTGGATTTCGTCTAGAGGACCTTCCTCCCCAGCACTACTACATCAAGGTCTGGTTCAAAATATACCTCCTATAGAAATATTCTTATAAAATCCTTGCCTACATCTTTCTCTAATTCTAGCACATAGCATTTACTGCTTGTCTGCTGGCTCCTGAGTCTTCTCTGTGTCTGCCATTAGGCACACATTTGATTTAGTGACTAACTGAACGAATGACTGACTGATTGACTGAGTACAAAGCACCATTTTTCTTCACCTGAAACTTGGGGTTTTCCTTACTCTTCTTCCTTGTCTTCTTTCCTCATCTAACTTCTCTATAAGACAAAAATTGAGATAAATTTAGAGCTCAGACTCTGAAAGAAGGATCCGTATTTCTAAAGAAAGCTCCAAATGGTATGCCCTGCCTTCTGGGAGTTACAAATAAGTGACAGAATTATGATGGGGGAGTAGTAGTTAGATGCTATATAAATGACCTCCTACTTCTGTACCTCCCCACATGGATTGGCCAGTTCTATTATTGAAACTAGGGGTGGGATGGCGGCATCCTCAACAAGCCAGAAGTTATAGTAGAAAATATAGCAGAGTCTAGCACAGAGTAAGCCTTCAACAAAGGTCTTAAGAGTGAATGAGAGAAGACATAGGCAAAGAACAGGGCATGGTTAGGGCTTTGGGCTTATACCTTGAAGCTCTTTATTATAAACATAGAATGAAATGTGGATACCAGCAATAATACTGCTGTCTCAATGTAATGAACTTCATCTAAATGTGCTAACATAAAAGTATTTGACCTAATGTAGACTTCAAGCTATTTTGAAATGGAAAATAAAATCTTGGGTTGTTTTTACTTTAAAACTCCTATAGTTGTTACCTAAAACTCAAAATAGAAGTCTATCAGCAGATTTCCAGACCATGTGCAGAGAGGCCTACTCTACCACACAAGCTGAACTTGAACAGTGGCTCTTCTGTGTAGCAGCTCTGGGGCCATCCTTCTGATGAGATGGCAGAAAAAGCATTTGCAGAAATCAGACCCAGTGTGGAAATCAGCTCGAGCACCCTTGAAGGTCTGCAAATACAATTTTAACTCTAACTTCTACCCCATTCCAAGTTATTAACAATTTTTTGTAACTTTCATTAGGTAACATTAAATCGACACTGGAGTTTCTGCAAGATCTTTTCTATTACACAATAGAGTAAAAACTGTAGGAAACGTTCAGATAGTTAAATGACCACTAAACACTACATGTGTACTCAACATGGTTCTATTAAAAATGTCCTTCAACTATGGCATTCAAGGACAGTAACGCAATATTTCCCTTACAAAGCAACTGATTATAAAAATCTGCAAATGCCATAAATTCATTTATAGGCTCTTATTTTCATAAAGGCATGTCACTAGTTTCTTTCAATTCTTTCCTGAAGTATTTTTTTGTGGTTTACTTTTATTGTATTGCCGGATGCATTACCTTTGATCATCCTTTCCTAAAATGATTTTTAAAAGACCTGCAGAAAATTTTATTGCATAGGACACTACTGAGGACACAGAAATTGGGAACTGCAAATATGTGGCACTGGAACAAGTCTTACAAATATTTCATTTTAAGAATTTGCTAAATACAATTTTTTATAGTTTGTCTCTTTTAAAAAATTGAAGTTACAGCTAAGTTAACTACATACAATGAAGCATTTTAGGAATGTTAGAATTTCGAGAATATGATGAATGATACAAAGGAAAAAAGCCATAATTCTTGTCGGCTACATATTGTATTGCCTTCAAAAGCAATTGTACATGTTGTATTCAGTTCATAGTTAAATATTTCTACTAATCTGTTTTAGGAGAGCAAATGTCTTTCAAGGTTTCAAGTTCCTCTATAAGCTTCTTGTTCTGAACTTCCAGCACTGCAACTCGACTCTCCAGACATTTTACATATTCTTTCTTTCGACGTCGACATTCTTTAGCAGCTTCCCTGAAAAAAAGTAGAAGCAAAAGGGCAAACAAAACAATTTTTGCATGCATGCTATTGACAAACAGACTGAAGTAAGCTTGGTATATGTGACATGGTTGCACTCCAAATCTTGGAACAACATTTCTAATTAAATTTCAAACACTAAGCCAAACCAGATTCTTAAGGGTCACAAATGTCCCTTCCATATGTCCACATGGCAATTAGTAGAATTGCTCCATCTCCTGCCTTGATTAGAGTTCACAGTAAACAAGATCCAAGTCAAAGACTGTTACTCTGCTTTATGGCAATAAAGATCTTTAAGGGCCTTGAGTTCCTCAATGAGAGTCTTGTTTTGGTTTTCAAGCACAGCCACACGGTTTTCAAGACATTTGACATATTCTTTCTTCTTCCTGCGACACTCCCGGGCAGCTTCCCTGGAACCAACACAAGGCAAATGACTCAGGAACAACCTCCCCGCACACTCCAGAGGGGCTCAGTGAACTTTGACCCCCCAAACTCAACAGCCAGTCAGTCCTAGGTAAGGTCTGTACAAAGCCACACAACAAATATACCGAAGCACATGCCATTTTTAAAGGTGACTCTAAGACAGTGATGGCGAACCTATGACACGCGTGTCAGAGGTGACATGTGAACTCATTTTTTTGGTTGATTTTTCTTTGTTAAATGGCATTTAAATATATAAAATAAATATCAAAAAATATAAGTCTTTGTTTTCCTTTGGTTGCAAATATTAAAAAATTTCTATATGTGACACGGCACCAGAGTTAAGTTAGGGTTTTTCAAAATGCTGACACGCCGAGCTCAAAAGGTTCGCCATCACTGCTCTAAGACAACAGGAATGACTTGAGAGCAGTCCATTTGACCAGCATTCATCGTAAATGGTGTTTTCTTAGGGCATACATTCCATGAGAACTGTAACCAGAATTGTTTTCAGTAACCTAAAACAGTAGAACCACATCCCCAAGTGGAATTTCTACAAAAACATTTACAGATCCTTTCAATTATCTTAGTCATTTTTATCCACCAAAAGTCACATATTCCATCAGTTAACTTTATTTGATCAAAAATAATTACAAAAATCAATCCTCAGAAACCTTAAATGTCAATATGGGAGATTTTAATTCTTCAAGACTAAATCTCAGTGAAACAAGTAAATCAATCACAACTGCAAGAAACAGTTTATTGATTGGGAAACAACATGAATAAAAATAACAATAAATGAATTATAAATCATGCACATTTTCATAAACAAAAATGAAATAAACTCTGCTTCTGGAAATTAAAAAAGGAAAGAAGGCATGGTACATAATAAATACTCAATAATTCAGACAATTTAAATCCAGGAATGTGAGACACCACAATTAAAACCATGAAAAAGAAGCTACTGAATAACTCAAAAGCGCACTTCAAGACTGTTCTCTCACCAAATGCCTTTACTAACCAATATACTGAATTTTAAAGTACTGTAGGCATGCCCAAAGGAAAGAATAGACCAGCAGCCAAAGCAACAAACACAATAAATAGATGATTTACAGTCATTTTCATGCATGACCCTACCCCCAAAAAACAAAACTATGAAAACAGCTAACATTTTCTTTCTCCTTTTCTTCAGGGCGGGGAGGGGATGGCAACTACATCATTTAATTCCTTTATAGGATGTATCCTAATAACAATTTTTTTTTTGGAGTTTACAATTCGGAATAAATGCCTTTGGGGTAACCTTCACATTTAAAAAAAATCCTACATTGCAAGACAATTCAACATTTTATCAAAAGTTGTGTTGAATGTCTAAATACCAATTACTGTAAAGCCAATTACCATCGCTGCATTTCTGAACTAGGATTGATGCACACAACAGATTTGGCCAATTCTGCTCTATTTTTAGGATAGTTGACTCTAACTAATAATTGTCTATCTGTGTTTTCTCTGTGGGAAGCTAAAGTCAGCAGAAAAGAAGAGAACTTGAAATCCCAATGAACTGCAGGAAAAAAATCACCCCTATTTCCTAGCCAAGAACAATGCACTCACTCTGTGAACCCACAAAGTTCTCAGATTTCTCAACTGGTTAATAAAACAGTAATAATATACAAGTGAACTGAATCTGATAAATATAGATTAACTTAATCTAAATGATGTACAGGAAAAAGTTAAGAATAAATTCAAGCACACATAAATCTGCCAGTTTGGGAACACAATTCAACTCTTCCAGGAGGAGCTAAAATACATTTAATGAAACCAAGGTTTTCATGAATAAATCATTATATTAAATTCCAAATCTGGAAGGAAGATAGTCATTTTTAAAAGAATTCACCATTAAATGAAAATTTAAATATGTAACAGATGCTTGCTTTGGCAGCACATATACTAAAATTGGAATGATACAGAGAGGATTAGCATGGCCCCTGCGCAAGGATGACACGCAAAGTCATGAAGTGTTCCATTATTTTAAATAAATAAATAATAAATAAATATGTAACAGCAATGTTGTGGGCTGGTCAATTTTTAAATTTGTGTTTACCAAGGTGTACTATTTACTGTGAATACCCATACTTGGTATTTCACGTGCGTGCATGTGTGTGCTACCAGAGTCAAATGTTCCAAGCACAAAGCTTAAATAATCACACTAGTAGATGGCACATTCCTAAGTATTTCTCAGCTATTCAAAACACCTGTTTCTTCTATTAATAGTTAGCTCAGTTTTCAGGCCTTGCATTTGTCTGGATATATCTTCAGCATGGAGAGAAAATACATGGTAAACAAGAAAAGCTGACAAGGCTGTAAAAATATAAAAACTGTCTCCAGATTGGTAGAAACATAATTAAATATCCATTATAAATGCTAGCCAAAGAGAAAAATGTATAAAGCTCTTTCATGTTAATGAGTAAAACCTATATTCTTTCCATAAAGTTAAATCTGAAGCTCACACTGAGGTCTTTTTGGGGTGACTCTGGTGTTGATGCAGTGGACAAGCTCTGGAATGACGCTTAATTGCATATCCAGGTTCTGTCCACTTTGCACTGTGTAACCAACTTATTATATAAACTCTCTGAACCTTAGTTCCTCAACTGTAAAGTAAGGATAATAACCAGCCCTATCCACATGTGAAAGTTAGGTGACAGTTATAGAAACAGTAGTTATAAAGCACTTAAAACTTACATATGGTATTTACTCAACAGATACTGAGCAACCTAATAGCCCTTTATTATCTGCTTTTCTTTTGTCTTGCTCTGAAATTGAGATCTGGAAAGCTAAAATAGACCCTTCTCAGAATCCCTTGCAGCTAGAGATTCTATTAGCTATTTCTGGTCAATGAAATGTGGGTGAAAGTTGTTGGCAGGGTCTTCCAGGAAAAGTGTTTAGAAGGGTCAGACTTAACCAGCCCCCATTTCCAGCTCCAATTCATCTCTCTTCTTCCTGACTGAAGTAATGCCTGGAGGTGTGGCAGCCATGTTGTAATCACAGGAACAAATGTCACACTCAAGATGACAGAGCAGGGAGGAGGAGCTGGATCCTTGATGACACTGTGGAGCCTTTGTTCTGGCTGCATGCACCTCTGGACTGGCAATCAAAATAACACCTCCATTCCCTTTAGTTATTTACAGCCCAAACACGAATGCTATCCAAAAGTTATTAACTAATTATTTTTTTAAAATTCAAAAAAATGCAACCCCCTCCCCTTTCAGGGAGAACTGATATGTGTGTGTATGTAGCTGTGGGGCACCTTTTATAGGAACCTACTGCCTAATATTTTATCTATTTCATTTTGGTAGTTCTGACAAAATTTTTTAATATAAAAATAAAGGTAGCCCTAGCGGGTTTGGCTCAGTGGATAGAGCATCAGCCTGTGGACTGAAGGGTCTCAGGTTCAGTTCCAGTCAATGGCACATGCCCAGGTTGAGGGCTCCATCCCCAGTAGGGAGTGTGCAGAAGGCAACCGATCAATGATTCTCTCTCATCATTGATGTTTCTATCTCTCTCTCTCCCTCTCCCTTCCTCTCTGAAATCAAGAAAAAATGCATTTAAAAGTAAAGGTATAAAATGAAAAAAGGGAGATAAGAAGGCTACTTTTTTAGTTCTTCCTTTTTATTTTCTTTGGGAAAATAAGACATGGATGAACAATTTTGCATTATCATCACACTTTACATTCTAAACTGAACCTCACAATGTACATTCTATGACCAGAGGGACAATTATATTCATAGCCTAAGATCTCTGAAAGTGCAGTTTTAAAGTATCCATGTTCCTCCATCTAATCAAAGTTAGGGATCTTCGATAACAAGATCTCCACAAAACAACTATGATACTATGTGAGCCCCACTCATTCAAGGCCCTTCAGAATTTCTGAGCAAAATACTGATGATGCAAAATGTGAATCCAGCATGACTTATAAACCTGGAACAACCAGTGATAAATATGCATGTATCTAGCAGGGTTGGTGTGGCTCAGAGGTTGAGCATAGACCTATGAACCAGGAAGTCATGATTAGATTTGTGGTCAAGGCACATGCTCAGGTGGCGGGCTCGGTCCCCAGTAGGGGACGTGCAGGAGGCAGCCGATCAATGATTTTTTTTCTCATCATTGATGTTTCTACCTCTCTCTCCCTCCCTCTCTGAAATCAATAAAAAAAATATTTTTAAAAAAAGATGTGTGTATCTAATGAGTCTATTTCTGGTAATCCGTTGAGTTTCACAGGGTAGAAAACTCCATCTCATGATTTGTGATAACTAATAAACTTAGGAACTGTAGCAAACATAAGAAGTCCTATAATATATCAAATTGTGCCATTTAAAAGGCTATATTAGTAACCTGAATATAGCTTCTACTGCTTCAGATTCTGTTACAAAGGATAGTGATGAACTCAGCAGTTGTTTCTGTTTTTGAGAGGCTCAGAAACCACAATTTCTACATTAACTAGGTTGCTAAAATCTAGTAAATTAACTACTCCCATGTGGTCCTGATCATAGGAAAACACATAATTCCATCTGAAATGTTTTGTTTTCTTACAATGAGGACATTATTTAAAACCTAGAAATAAGGTAACAAGAGTACTGGGAAACCAGACTATTATTATTCTGTTCATTTTGAAAATCAGATTAATTTGCACCATTATCCATAATAAAAATTAAACCAAGAAATGATATGCAAACTAGATTTTAAAAAATAATTTTGGGAAACAGCATTTGTATGATATACTGCTTTAAAAAAAAAATAAGTTACAGCCCTGGCCAGTGGCTCAATGGTTAGAACATCAGTCCATGCATTGAAGGGTCTCAGGTTCCATTCAGGTCAGGGGCACGTGCCTGGGTTACAGGTTCGATCCCAGGCCCAGCCCTGGCACATGCAGAAGGCAACCAATTGATGTGTCTCTCTCACATCAGTGTTTTTCTTTCTCTCTCTCTCTCTCTCTTCCTACCCACCATCCCTTCCACTCTCTTTAAAAATCTAAAAGTCAATGAAAGAAATATCCTTGGGTGAGGATTAACAAAATAAAATAATAAAGTTACAGTGATAGGGTGCAAAAACAAGTGAGAAAATGAGAGAGAGCAGGCTGGAAATGTATATACTACTATGCACGAAATTCGTTCAAGAGCAGGCCTTCGCAGCCCCAGCTGCCTCGGCCCTCGCAACCCCGGCTTCGTCTGGAAGGTCGTCTGGACGGTCGTCTGCTGCTCGGCAGTTCAGTTGATTTACATATTCCGCTTTTATTATTACAGATAATATCAGTAGGTATCTCTAAGTGGTGGGGCTATGAGTAATTTTAATTCTTTCTGTTGTTTTGTATTTTCATTTGACTACAATTTATCAGAATAAAGATGTATTTCAAATACAATCAAGAAAAAACAAAGTTAAGAAATAGATCAAATGAAATATATAAAAAATTTAAGAGCCCTAGCCAGTTTGGCTTGGTGGATAGAGCATTGGCCCACAGACTGAAGGGTCCTGGGTATGATTCCAGTCAAGGGCATGTACCTCAGTTGCAGGCTCAAACTTTGGCCCTGGTCAGGGCATGTACGGGAGGTAACCAATTGATGGGTCTCTCTCACATCAATGTTTCTCTCCCTCTGTCTCTCCCCCTCCCTTCCACCCTCTCTAAAAATCAATGGAAAAAATATCCTTGGGTGAGGATTAACAAGAAATAAAAAATAAATAAATTTAAATAAACAAAAACTTAAGAAAATTCTTAATGCATACAAATTTATTTTACTAATAAAGAAGTTAGAAAATTACACTTATCACCTAACTTCACAAAGTAAATACTAAGTACAAAATAAAATTTTATTTGTAATAAAGCCCTTCCATCATCATTAAAAAAAATTAATGTATCTTTCAGACATTACCTTTGTTACACAGGATTCAATCTCCGCCTGATGAAATAGTTTCATGATTAGGAACTCTGACTAGCAGACAATCTATCATGCAGAGCACAAATCCACATAAAATGCCACTTAACACTGAACTTGGGAGAAATAGCTTAGGAAAAGTAATTTTTTAAAAATCCCAAAGTAACAAATTGTATGTCCTATAAGTGGTTGCTGATTTCTAGTGAACCATCTTACCTGTTTTTCATTAGCCTCAGCTCTCGTTTGCGTGTGGCTTCTTCTGCAAGTTGCTGGGGGCTGTGCAAACTTCCTGGTGAGGCAGCCATCACTACTCCCTGTGGCAAAGCAGTAGTAGGTGCTCGGATCTGGTAAGTTGGCATGTCACCAGTGGCAGCTGCAATGAAATATTACATGCTTATATAAACAATTTAAAACTTGATATCTTTAAATAAAATTGCCCTGGAAATAATATACTTCTTATTACATATTCTAAGAGGTGATCTTGCTAATGTTTAAGATGACTATTCTGAGCATTATAGAAATTGTAGGTATCAAAGATCTTCAGTACTTGGAACAATGATATTCAGCATGCTCTATACATTTAAGGTAGAAAAATGCCCTAATGCATTTTAGATAAGTTTTTATCAAAGGCTAAAAGTAGAGAGGCTTTTCAACTGAGAGTTCGCTAAGTCTAAAATCAGTGGTGTGCTGATAAATGTTTAACAACCAGATTTGTGGAGGGAAAAGCCCTGATACGTCTGTAGCATGTCAATTCCCATGATGTAAATGCTTGCACCATGGCCAATTTCAAGCTACCAGTGTGACTTCAATGAATGTAGAGTCAGGAAGATATACACAGTAAGTAGCACACCATACAGATAAAATAGATGTAAATAACTGCAAGAGCATAGATTAAAAAATTATAAATGATAAATTTTGAGTATTTATTAATGTTTTTAAGTAACTTGTTAAATGTATATTTACATTTTTAATAGCTATTTTAACAATCAGCTCATAAAAATCCTGAAAATTTAACAATCAGCTCTAGCAAATCAGTGGGAGCTGGCTCTAGCACATCACTGTGAAAATTTTAATTAAGCAGAACATTTCTATCCAGTTAATTTTCCTATAACCTATACCCTCACCTAATCTCTTTAAGTGGAAGTCCTAACACCAGAATATGACTGAAGTACTGGAAGGAAAATACTAACTCACTGTATTTTCATTTAAAAGCAAATAAAAATCAAAACAGCAAAACTCTTTAAAACTGGTTTCTCTGGGGAATGATAATTTTTGTCTGTCTTAGGTTTATTGAGATAATAATATAGTCATTTAAACGTATGTTTTCTAATGATAGTATAATCATAGTTAAATGACAGTATTTATTTAGTATTCAGATTGCATACTGAAGTTCTCAAAGTGTCTTGATTTATAATCAAAATGTGTGTATCTACTGCAGTAAAAAACTTCCTTAAAACAGAAAGATGGGTTGAAGTGATAAAACATTCCTACCATCACTGTTTCAACTTTGAGAACATGCAATCCAGAGTTCATGTGACATTCTGATGAGATATGACAAAATATATGCTCCCTCAGAAATCAATGCAAGAAAATGGGTTTAAAGGTTATTAAATCCTATAAAACTTGGTCTGAACCAAATGCTAATCAAAATATGAAACACATTGCTTCTATATCTCACTAAAATATGTTATATCCATTGACTAAGAACTGAAATTTTACTCAAAGGGGAGACAAATGCTTTTTTCAGGTAAATAGAATAATATCACTGAAACTAGCCAATTAGATTAAAAGGTTAATCAAAATTCATCTATATGTTTCTTTTGGGGGTAAATGCCAGGTTTTTACCCCCACCCACTCCCCCGGGCTTAAGAATTAGAGGAAAGAATAAAACAATAAAAATATGGCTTTGGGTAAAGATCAGAGGTCTTCATAGGGCAAATAAAAATACCATTTATAATGTTGTACTGCTTCTTCCTTCTATATGTAATATAAGAAATAATAATAATAAGTAGAAATTATGATAAATATAATAATGATCACCAACTTGGGAAAAATCCTAAATTTGTTTTTGTGACAATTTAAAATAGTATATACACAGAAGTCTCATTATATGTCAGAAATTTTATAACTTTGAAATATTTGGAGAGAATTTTCAAGTCAATTATAAACTATTAATTTACTAAAGATTTAAAATATATATTTAAATCAGATTGTAGAGAAGATTGAAGCACAGAATAACAGTTCTCTTCTCTGTTCTCTTTACCCACATCAGGAAAAAAGGTTATGGGATAATAAAGGCTGAAACAATGGAACAGCTGGAGCCTACAAAGGCTTTCTAAAATTGGAACAATAGCAGTGACGAAGGAGAAGTTTACATGTCATCATGTTGACATTTTAAGCAGCATGGATGCAGACCTTGGTTTTGTTCTTGCCAAATTGCTCACAAATAAGTGCAATAAAATTAATACAAAGGTACAGAAGGGTTCATTATTCTCTCTCTAGTTTTGTATACACCTGCTTTTTTCTGTACTTAAAGTTAAAGCAGGATGTTTATACAATATACAAAAGTTAGTTTCAAAGTATCCTTTTTTTTTTTTTAATGAAAAGGGAAGGCAGGAATACTTCACAGATAAAAAATAAAGTTCATTCATTGATCTTAGAACCAGAAATGGTTCTAAATTTTTGCCTATTTCCAAAAGCTGAAGCCATATTCAAAAGACCAAATTTGGCACCATGAAGGATAAAGGTGACTCAAAAGAAGCATTCTTAAAACATTCTGAGCAACAGCTTAGAAAAAACACCCTGACATGCTAAGTTGGAAAGTGTTACCGGAAAGGGGACCTGGCCCTGAGCAGGCCTGCTTAGGGCCAGCAGGTAGTGTGTGCGGGTTCTTGACTTCATGCAGGAAAGATGTAACAATATGAGTCCAGGTGATTGAGAAGATGTTTGTTAAAACTGGGGACAGTGAAACAAGGAAGAACCTGGGATAGAAGAGGCAACAGGAAAGAGCTAGGCAGAGTTGCTTTAGCTCACTGGAAAGTCAGAAAAAAAAAGGGGCCTTAGGGACAGGTTCAGGGGGTTAGCCCAGCTGAGCTGCCACTGCCCATTGCTCCCCTAGTTGCAAGTTTTGTGGGGACCCTTGGAATTTAGGTGATACATGCCCGTGGGAGAAGAGGAGGAAGGGAAAGGCATGTGTATATGTGCTGGGTTCTTTGTAGTGTTTTATCTCTTCCTTGCAGAAGGGAATCTTAGTGGAGACCTCAGGGGAGGGTTTCAGGAGAATATTCATCAGCTTTCTAGGTGTGCTCATTCAGAATTGTGATGTCCACTGATTGGTCAGTGCCAGGGCAGGGGTCATTAGCAATTGCAGCTGGTCTTGGTGTCCCCCACCTGGTTTTGCTGCTTTGCTGGGATAAAACTGAGGCCTAGATATTATCTCTAGGGGGTGACCTTCTGTATCTGCTATAAATTGCTCTGCCAGTTTGTTCAGCTGTCAGTTTCCCCCTTCCACCTGCCAAGGAATTTTCCTAGCTTCTTACTATCCTGCCTCAAAAGGATGATATATTTAAATGTATTCTCAAATGTTAGCTAACAAACTGGTTTTATCACAATTTTTCAGACATTTCTTCATCAACAAAAATCTGATTGTATCTTATTGGTTCAAGCAGAAATATGAATTAGTATAAATTAGGAATTAGAATAAATTTCTGGTCATGGTACAATTCTAATAGTTACTGAATAAATATCAATGGATAAATTCCATATATTCAAATATGATCTATTAGTAACACATTAAAAAGATATGGGCAAAGAGAAGCTCTTGTTTTAAGGAAATCCAAATGTCAAAAAGTTTTGTTATTGAAACAAGTTATGGAAAAAAATTTATATAAAAGTTAGCTTCTATTTCCAATATTACAAACTTAGTGATAATTTAAAACAGATGAGATACCTAGCATAATAGTTCAAAGAACGACATTCTTTGATGAAATGCCAATTCCTGTTCCATCTAACTACTAAAAGGACCCAAATTATTTTTTATTCTAAAATTTCACTATATAAATTATTTCTGAAAATAAGTGGGTCATCAATGAGAAGTGTAAACTCATGATTGAAGAAAGATAATAAAAAAGATACACTAATTTAATTTTATTCTAAGGCAGCAAAAAACTTGAGACAAATCAAGGTACCTTTTTTACCTTTGGCATCCCTAGAATCCAGCACAGTACTTGGCATATAATGGGTGATTGGTGAGTTTACTTGAGCACTATGAAGTAAATTTTGAACTTTCCAGGTTTTTGCACAAGCCCGCTGTCACTTGGAATGTTTCAAATAAGCAGCCTTATTATTATAAGACTATTATTATAGTTAACTCTTTAACACTAATACATGGAAAGCCCTAAAAGACATTCAAACTGGCCTTTCTTTTTTTCTTTTTTTATTTTATTGATTTTTTACAGAGAGGAAGGGAGAGGGATAGAGAGTTAGAAACATCGATGAGAGAGAAACATCGATCAGCTGCCTCCTGCATACCCCCCCCCACTGGGGATGTGCCTGCAACCAAGGTACATGCCCTTGACTGGAATCGAACCCGGGACCCTTGAGTCCGCAGGCCGATGCTCTATCCACTGAGCCAAACCAGTCAGGGCCTAACTGGCCTTTCTTGATAAAATGTATTATTTCCTAAGTCTTCCCCTAGATACTGATAATCTAACCTGGCATTTTAGAAGCAGAGGAGTTCTACTTGTAGTGTTTCCAACCATCTAACTTCTGACATGAAAACAATGTTTTAGGTTTGGTATCAAATATTTCATGAGAAAAGAAAATTCCTAGAACTCTCAATTCTGGTCATTAACTTCATACCTCTCTGTGCAAGCTTTAAACACAGTACAGAAGAAAAAGTAAAGGATCTGGAATCTGGGTTCTAGTGCAGCTCTGCCACTTACCAGCCATGTGACTTGGGGCAAGTTCAGTTTCCTCATCTGTAAAATGGGGATACATTATCTCATTTAATACTCACAATAAACCCTGTAATGTATGACAAAGTGTCTAGCACAGTGCCTGGCACATGGTAGGCATTCAGCAAATGTTAGTTCCCTTCCTCTTCCCTTCCTTAAGTTCTGAAAGACAATGTTCCAAATTATGCTTATACTGCATATTAATTAAAAGGCAAATAACATCCATAAATATATTTTCCCCTCGAGTTTCGCTTCTAACAAATCTAGGTAATAGAATGATTGACATGTGTGGCTCTTATTCCTTATTTTGTTTAAAAATATGCCTATTAAAAACTTTTATAATTTTTATTATATCCCTTTAAAGAATAAATTATTAAAAAATAATATCACAAAAATACCCCTTTAAATATAATAATTT